CCAATTGCATATCATGTCTTCTTGCATTGAATTTATTCCTTCTAAGTTCAATTTTCTTCTTCCTAAGATACATCTTTAAAGAAATTTTTATGAGAATCTCTGAATGGAGAAAGTTATTCTTATTTGTTTGAAAATTATCTTTGTGCTGTCATTATATGTAAATGATAGCTGGGCATATAATTTCAAGTGAAAAGTTAACTTTCCTCAGTATTCTGAAGCTATAATACGTTCCATTGTTGTCTGTTGTATTAATTTGCTAGGACTCTTAGAGCAAACCACCACAAATAAGGTAGCTTTAACAAAAGAAGTCTAGCATTACACAGTTCTCAAAGCTAGAAGTTCAAAAGCAAGGTGTCAGCAGGGTGGATTCCTTTCCAGAGAGATGAGGCAAGGATTTGTTCCAGGCTTCTCTCCATGGCTTGTAAAAATAACCATTTTCTCTCTCTCTCTCTTCACATTGTCTTTCCTTTGTGCCCATCTGTCTCCAAATCTTCCTTTTTATAGGAACACTAGTCACATTGGATTAGGGGACCATGTAACTCTAGGGTGACTTCATCTTAATTAATTATATCTGTAATTATCCTATTTCAAATAAGGTCACATTCTGAAGTACTGAGAGTTAGGACTTCAACATATGAATTTGAGGCAGACACAATTTTATCTATAACATCTGGTCTTTTTCTGTCTTGAGAAATTAGTTGTTTTATGGGTAATACTTTTATTTATTTATTTATTTACTTATTTATTTATTTATTTGTTTGTTTGTTTAGAGAAGTAGCCTTGCTCTGTCGCCCTGGCTGGACTGCAGTGGCACAATCACAGCTCACTGCAACCTCCACGTCCCGGGTTCAAGGGATTCTCCTGCCTCAGCCTCCTGAATAGCTGGGACTACAGGCGGGTACCACCACGCCTGGCTAGTTTTTTTTTTGTATATTTAGTAGAGATGGGGATTCACCGTGTTAGCCAGGATGGTCTTGATCTCCTGACCTCATGATCTGCCTGCCTAAGCCTCCCAAAGTGCTGAGATTACAGGCGTGAGCCACTGTGCCTGGCCTGGGTAATACATTTTTTATCTTTAGTTGCTTCAAAGAATTATTTTAATCTTTAGTGATTCTGCATTTCATTACAGTATTTACAGGTACATATTTATTCTCATGTGTCCTGATTGAGACTCGATGAGTTGCTGTTTTTAATGTAAGTGTTCCTGTCTTTCATCACTTCTGAGAAATTATCTTTGTATATTGAGTTTGCCACACTGTTTAACAAATACTGCATCTCCTCATTCTCACTCTAGGCCCTATGTGTCTAGTCTGTACTTCGTGTTTTTAATCTTTTTATGTTTATGTGCAGCATTCTGGGTAATTCCTCAGACCTATATTCTAGTTCAGAGCTTCTCCCTTTAGCAACACCTAATCTGCTTTCAAGTGGTCTTTAAAAAATGATTACATTGTTTTCCCTAGGGATTATATTTGGTTATTTTTCAAAGATGTCTACTCATTTTTCATAACACATTGTACTCTTCAATTTATTTTGTGTTGATATGATCAATTTAAACATATTTGCTTTATAATCCATAACTTCTAATTCTGTGTTCTAAAGTTCTGAGTGCCTAATTTTTCTTTGCTGTATCTTTTCATATTAGATTTTTTTCCTCATCTCATTGGTAACTTTTTATTGTGAGCTCATCTTATTGGAAATCGTTTTCTCTATTGGTAAATGCATGTGGCCAGGAGTGTGAAAGTGTTCTCTTAGTTACTTCTACCAGGTAAATTAAAAGTATTACTGGTTCAAGATGATTTATTTCATTAATTATATAACTAGGAGCACTCCTGGTACTCATAAATAATGCAAAGTATTGTCACAAATCAATGTGGTTTTCTTTGTTCCTCAGTGTCTAGCCTGGAAAAAAAACTTACATTCTTATTGGGCAAAGAAGTGTTTTTTAGTCTACATTTTAATTTAGGCGTACTTCTAATTTTATCCAGAAGGTTCCCAATTTTTTCTGCCACTGTTGACCTAACTTTTTTAAAACACCGTGCACATAAGAATGAGCACTGTTTTATAATTTTTACAATTAGGCAGGAGTAGTAGAGAAGTTAATGTAGTGATGATAATATAACAGCAAGCAGATGACATAAATTAGACATTTTAAAAAGTATTTCAGTCTCTACCCACTGCCATCTCATTAAGAAATAGAAAAGTCTGTTTTATTGAGAGTCTTTATTTTTATTCATTCCTTTCTTTAGGCTGACAAAAATGTAAAATTCTTTCATTTTTATTATGAAATTGCTTATATCTTTCCATCTTCTCCACTAATTAAATTCTGGGTCTACTTTGGCACCATCAAAACCTCATTGAGTTGCTCTATGAGCTCTTCTAGCTTAGAAATTGTAGGTTTTTTTCTTTATCATGAATTACATCCAACTTGTTGAATCAAATAAAGTCTGATTTGAAAAAAAAATTACTACACTTTAAGAGTAGTAGGTTAATTTTCATGTATATAGGTAGGTATTTAATCATTTCATGTTGTTGTTATTTTTTTGAGATTTTGCTTTTGCTACAGCATGCTTTTTAGTGAGAGATACTCAAGTTTTCTCAAGAATATTACAGACATATTTTCTAACACAATGATAGAGGTAGAATGAAAATTTAAATTTTTGTATTTAAGTAGATCACTTAAATTAATAATTAAGAGAAATTTCTAGTTTCCTTGGCCTACATAGCTTTATATGATATTCAATTATCTATCTTTAAAAATAGGTTTAAGTTTCATTCTTTTACAATATTTAAGCAGGAATGCCCATATCTGGTTTTCTACTATAAATATCCTGATTATCATGTGTATAGATGACTGGTGTGGATAATCTTGAACTCACTATTAGGGTTTTCAAGCATCAGGAAGGGCAAATCTCTGACTACTCCCAGAGGGCCTCTGGCAAGTGGGTTAACCATGCATGGATGTTCTCCAATGCTACTGGGTTCAGAGCCAACTCAGAGGATTCTGCTTTCTCACGTTGGCCAATATGGGTGGTAATATCAACCCTGGTATTTTTCTGAGCCACAAGCATGAAACCAATCTTAACATTAATTGGCATAATAAGAACAAAAACTATATCTGACCTCACAAAATTCAGCTTCACAAATGTAGGCTTTCCAAAACACAAAAATGACAAGTTGAGAAAAATCAAGTTTATTTAAGCCTGAAATTCAAAATTTTTTGTTGTTGTTAATATCTTTGGCTAACAGACACACACACATACGTCTATGCACAAAACAAAGAATATCAGTCCATTTTTATTTATACACACATAGTTTGCTGCATTCTATTTATTTATTACTCAACAGTTATAATAACACTAATTATATCATCTGACCAGAACCTCTAATTAGAAGATTGATGTCTTTCATTCATATGAGTGTAGAATTGATCATTATTTTAAAATAATAAGTAGATAAAATCATCAAATATATAGTTCCAAAGTGACAGAGTGATCAGATGTAACCAATTATAATTTGAGTCATTGCCATTAAAAATAAAGGAACTATACATGATTCATACTCTGATAGTACGGTTATCATTGATACAACCCTGTTCTATAAATGTTACTGCATCCTGTTGCATAAGTGGCAAAGTCTTTATCCTAGGTCTTGGTCTCTTCGTTCCTAAACTTTTTGTAATCTTTCTTTGACTATACATGTAGGTGTGCCCACACACACACCTCATTTTGCAATATTTCTCTTCAATTTTATATCTGGCATATATCTCTATTTAGCCAATCACCACATTGATATGTAACCCTGGTTAGGTGTTTATATGTCTTGCCCTACTCTGTTGCTTACCTTTATGTTTCCAGCATCTATCCCAGTGCCTGGAGCACAATAGACACTCAATAAGTACGTTAAGAATGAGAGAATCTGTCCCTTCAACATCATTTTTTCTTTTTAAAAACAATTAGCCATCTCACCACTATACAATAAGAGCACCTAGTTTGACCACTAAAAACTGCAAACATTTTGTCCTTTTCCACCCTGCCTGTATCGGGAAACACTCTTGAGTTGATAGTATTAACCACCACCTAGTGGCTAGGATGGGAACTATGTGATTTGATATATGTTACCTGCCACCTTCAAGGGACTTGGGAGATTTAAACCATTGGAAATAGGGTTTATCAATGACAGCAGGAGCAATAAATAAACCCCAGAAGAATCCAATTTCAGCTCTAATAGTCACACACCTGAACTCTCTTATTTTAAGTTTGGAGCATTTAATGCTCCATTGGGATATTTACATACAGCAAATATCAAACTTCTTAAGTCCAAATCTCTTATCTCCCATTTACTATCTGAATGACTTTAGAAAAATTATTTAGTGTTTCTATATCCTAGAGTCTTCTCATCCATAAAACTGGAATCTACTATATGGCCCTTCACAATTGTAATATCCACATTGAGGATATGAATGTACTATATGGCCCTTCATAATCATAACATCCACATTGAGGTTCTCATGAAAAAAAGATACAATAACCCATGTGAAGATTATCATAAGATCTGCTCCTTAGTAACTCAGTAACTGAGTATTGTTTCTGTATTGACCTAGTCTGTCTAGCTCAATAGTCTAGCTTCCTGGCTAGTCTGTCTTCCTTTGTAATCAAGGGTGTGAAACGATCCCTGATTATACTGCTTACTTGTGCAATTTTTCTACAGGTCGGGTCTTCATTTTTATTTTCTTCCTTCGTTTGAACTAGTGTCTGCTCTGGCCTTTCTGGCCCTGTCCTCTTTATAAGTCCAATGCATGTCTCAGCATCTCTTCTCCACAACCTACTTCTTTTCATTGAGAAGGTTTGTGTCTGCAATAATGTTCTTACATTTTCATTTCTATCACAACAGAGATAATTCCATCTTGGGTACTATTCCTTGTCTATAAATATACTGCTCTGGCCACTTACTCCTTCTCATGTATCTCCTATTGCATTTTCGATTTATTCAGAAACACTTACCATCCTTTCCGCAAACTCGTTCCTTCTGTCCTAAGGTATGGTTGATAACACAGGTGTGGGTTTGTGGAACGTTACCTGTATAAGAAAAGAGAAAGATTAAACGTTTTAAGTAAAGTTAACCGCAAATTCTATGAATACTATCAGGCTTTGAAGACCTTGAAAATGTCAATGTATCTCCTTAAAAACCCACACAAATTTGCCCTTTTCTAACTCTCTGTCTAATGGAAGTATACTTTTTCTTCAAGCACCAATCTACGGGAAACTATTGTTGAATCTTTCTCATATAATTTCATTGTGAAAAGCAAAACATGTTCTGTACATGTTTATACTTCAGGCATATGTTTTCTTGAATAAAGTAGACATTTGCACTAATCTTGGAAACCTAACCATCACCTAAAATAGTGCTATTATAGAACAATGTTGACCAAGTGAACTTACAGTAGACAACTTTCTTTTAAGTTAGGAACTGGATATAAGATGAAGAATATGATATCTGGTCTGAATTATTTGGGACTAGTTCTGTCAGGCATGTCCTCTTGTTTTCCAAGTTAGAGAGTAATTCAGTCTTACTTTAGTTTAGTTTAGTTTTCTCCTCCCTGGTGAAATGGCAATGCTTTGAACTTTAGAATGATCAGAACAGCACAATCAGAAACTTTTTACTCAGGTTCCATTAACCATGTTCTAAATATATTACTTTAGTGATGACAGTCTTTGGTTCATTGTGATATTCATAGTGTGTTGGGCCATGGAAACATTTTTTGTGGAGGTATTTTATGTCTCAATAACAGGTCAGACAATGGGAATTCCTCAGTTTTTTGCCCACAGTCAGGTAAGATAATTTGTTCTTACATATTTGGGTGAAGGTGAAGTCACTCTCATTGATAACTGCAGTTGTACCAACATAAGGTTTCATTCCACTTGTTTCATTCTCATGATGGACATTCTTCTACTCATCACAAACCAAGGTCTAAAGCTGTGAAAGCCTCGAAGTTAATTACATTTCCTTCTGAGTTTCTTCTGCTGTGGCTTGCTGGTCTTCCCTTGTTCTTCTTAGAATGCACTAGCAGAGGCTCCAGAACCAGGCATAGAGCAACCAGCCAGAGATCTACACAGATCCTAACAGAGAAGACCCTAGAATTTACAACATGAGCTTCTTGACTTGCAACTTCTGCTTTGGAATATAATATGAGGTTTGGGAAGAGGTTTATTTTGTGATTCTAGATGAATTATTAAAATCATAAAAGGAAAGAAATCCTCAATGGAGGAACTAGAATCTTTGTGCTATATCAGAAATGAATTTAGTCATGGTGTTTTGTGGTCTTAAACTTTTTTTTAAGAGTCTGAATTTTGTCCCCAAGATTTCTTAATGCAGACATGAAAGAAGGAAATTGGAAAAAACAAACAAAAAAACAAACAAACAAACAAACAAAAACCTTTAATGATACTTCCATTGATATTCATGGCAAGAGACCACTTCTGAGGTACCTGTACTTGGTCCTTCAGGTCCTATTAGTCCACTGCCTACAATTTGAAGACTTTTAAAAAATGACTCTCCTTTCCTAAAATCACACAAAAACAGGTATATTTACTTGGGTAAATGTAATGGGTACATTTACATTTACCTGGAGACCTCTCATTATTTGGAGGAAAAAAATTCCCTTAAATTAAACGTGCTTTAGAAATGTTCAAATTTATGCACTCATGACATATACATTCCAAATGTCAGTCAAACTATGCACGTTTACAAACGTGACCCTGACCCTCACTCTCAAGAAGGGACATAACACACAAACATGTAATGGAACCTGAAAACAATTATAAATCCATATAGACATAAGAATGAGATAATATGGTAGATCAGTAATCTGAATAGAGTATTCATTTTCAGAAAACAAACTGTAGAAAGACAGTTAAGTGGTATCCCTGTCAATGTTGGAATTTAGGAGAATTTAAGCACTGTAGAAAAGGGACAGCAGGAACTGTATATCAGTGCAACCAGGGAATAAAATTCAGAGCAAGATGTTACAGTCAAGGAAAGAGTGAAAAAGTATTTAAGATGAAGAGTCCATTAATTGATATGAAATCCCCCCCAAAATCCACTTTTTAAACAAGGAAAATTACCATTAGTTTCACTAGTTACTATTAGTAGCTAGAGATAATTTCATTACAAATCAAGAGGGAAAATATTTCATATTGCAATGTTGTAGCCTACTCAGTACAATGTGATATATAAAGAAATTGTAATCTAGTGAATGTTCTTAAAGATTTAAGTAGGTTACTGTTCTTGGCAATGTTATAATCTAATACTAGAAAGAACTTAGATGTGAATATTTAATCACAGAAGTTATGTATTAAAAGACATTAAACTAAAGATAAGAGAAATATGCCAGGGCATTTTGAAAGTTAGACAAGGAATTGAATCTTTTGGCCAATGATGAGCAATATTAATCAAATAAACAGAATCTCTACTAAGGTAAACCACAGCTGCTATCACTTCTGTTAGCATAGCAACAGAGAATAATTAACCTAGCAACAAAGTTCTAAATAGCAAAGAAGGAGATATTGACTGTTGAAAAATTACATGGTATTCAAAGAGTTTTCTAGAACAGGAGCAAGTAAAATCTCTGTTTCAATAGAAAGAGATATAAAGATCTGGAGGAGACATGCTCACTATAGCCCAGGGAAAGGCAACATATCATAGGAAAGTTCACTAGTTCTGATTTCCACTCATTCGATTTAAGGTGTTAATATTTAAAATATTGACTTCTCAAATCCTACAAAAATTATTGCTCCCACATTCCTCTTAGTGGGAGGCTTCTTTAAGGGCTCTCTACCCCAAACCCCAACACCAACACTCAGAAAATGATTGCTTTGTCTTTGCTTCACCTTGAATCCATCTCTGTCATAACAGTATTGCACATTATTACATATTAATGATGAATACATGATACTTGTAATAAATTGGGAGTTTCTTGGGGCCAATGTTTATTATATTTTATTGCCTTAAACAGTGCCTGACATCTACTAGGTAGGAAAGAGGAAATTTACAGTTGCTCTTGAACCAATATTAGCAGTTAGATGTCATTTATTATATACCTTCATACATCTTGGATTTTTTCTTCTTATCCCTTAACATATTTTTATTAAATAATTGACATTGTAAATATTTAATGATAATGAATGTCTTCCCCACATACCAAGATCCATGAGAGCAGTGATGCTCTGTCCTGTTCACTTGTGTGAATCTATAGTTTCTAGGACAATTTAATAGAAGCTCAATAAATAATTGAGTGGACAAACGAATAAAGAAATGAATTGATAGATGAATTCCTGTGATCCTTTTTATCTAACCACTAATTTTTCTTAATTGACATACATATACACACACACATATATATCTATATATATGTGTGTGTGTGTGTATATATATATATATATATATATACACGCAGAGAGAGAGAGATTAAATTTTGCAGTTTAGGCCAACTAAATAAATTATGGGGTTCAATGCAAAGTGAAGATACAAAGTCCCTTGTTCACAAAGCAGGAAAAAAGTACCATTAAAAGTTATTAAAATATAAAGCTTTTTCTTTTATATTGTGCTTTTTCTCTTAAACTGTCATGGTGCTTTTATTTGCTATTTAATGTCATTCTAAGAAAAGAACAATTAAAATTTTAAATTTTAACATAAATTTTACTGTTCATTTTTATATTATGCAACATCAAGTTTAAAAAATATAAAAACATACTATTGTAAGCAGAATCATTGAAATTATACAATTCCTATTTTGTAGTTTATACATGCATATGCACTTGGTTCTTACTAGAACAATATAAACCCTGCACAAAGCTAACTCGCCTGTTTTCATTTCATTTCTTGATATGCACACATTGTACTAATACTCTCTACCTTCAGTTTACCCATGAGTGAAGAAGGAATGAAAGAAAAAACAACTATGGATTTGCCTTATCTCTCTCTTTCCTTCTATAGCATAGCAGCTTCCATAACACACTTAACTTTGTATTTACTTTGAGTCTTGCTGAAACCCCATGCCTCATGGATTCATTGCAATTCTGTTGATGAGGCATCAAAAAGGCTCTTTACAAATGGATGGTAAGGAACTGTAAACACACATATTGCTCATACCTTCTCTACTCATAGGCATGCTTTATTAGTCCATCAAACTTCAGTTACAAATCACAAGTTTAAAAAAAAAAATTATTACAAATTTCAAGATGATAACAGCATAGCATTAAACCAAGTACAGGGCCTTTCTGAGGACAGAAACCTGTGTGACCTAAACAGATTCTATATTCATGAAGCCAGCCCTGCAAGGGCCCCCTGTTGTCTCTTAAACAACAACCACGGCAATATAAATAAGCTAAGTGGTCAAACAAAATTGTCTTGTAAAAGTTATTAGTATCAGAGGGCAGGTGACTTAAGTTTTGCCTTAGGTCGAAGACCAGTTGTTGATTAGTTTGTGTCCAAAAATAATATTATCTTTCAGACTGTAAAAAGAAATGCTAATAAGATGATTGCCAAGAATTTTGTAAATTTAAAGTTTGTAAAGATACTCTTTGTAGTAATACAATTAGAGATATATTCATATCTAAAGTAAAGAAAGGTTTTAAGTTATGGGATGGCTTCATTAGTGGATTCATGAATGTGCAGAGTTGCAGTATTAGGATGGATTTCATACTGTGGGTCATCATTACAAATGCCATTGTCATAAAAATCTGTATCCTCAGATGAAGCCTATCGTTTATAAACACAGGAACCGTCTTTCCACAGTATAACACAGCTTTATTTCAGGACAACCACATCACCTAAGTAATTCTGAAATTTTTTTCCCACAAGTATTGCCTTTTAAGTTTAGATTCAGGTAGAAGACTATGTTCTCCAAGGTTTGTGGATAATGTACCCAGTAATTTTAACATTTTCAGCAGCCAGCCAAAGACTGAACATTTAGAAACAAAGAAAGGAAAAGCACACTTATTTCTATTATCTGATTTAATCCTCACAATAATTTTTAAGATGGATAGTATCAGTCCTTTTATATAGGTAAAGAAGTTGA